TATTACTGTGATATCATTCTTACCCATAAACAGCGCCCTCGCATTACTTGGCTAAAACTCAGTTTTTTATACATCATTTTCAGGGTTGTAAATGACCTGGAAAAGGTAGCCTACTGACCAAAGTTTTGTTTTTTCAGTGTCATGAGACTTCAGTACTCAGTAGCGGAAGCTTCTTGTTCTGATGCTAGAAAATAGCCAAATTAAATGACGCTCATTTTTTTGCGAAGTGAATACCATTTGTTTAAATTTTTAATCACTAAGTATGATCCTTTGATCCTTTGAGTAGTGTACAAATGCAGTCAGAGTTGCTCCATCACTAAGGTGGAAGCAAGGAACTGCATCTCTGAGAAGATTGAGTCCTTTCCTTGCCTTTTTGTGAATCAGTGCCTAAGATTCTGATGAGGATCCCTCATGCAATCTTGGAAACTGTTCCTCCTCAGTGATGGAGGCGAGGACTGGCATCTATCTGAGTTTTCTTCCTCTCCTTGGCATTCTCATGAATCATCTCTGTGAAGTCCCATAGGATCTTGTCCTCCATCGTCCTTCTCTCCAGGTTGAAGGAGGCGAGGGCACTCTTCTCATCAGCATCATGGTCTGATTCTCCTGGGGCACACCCACAGCTTTCACATGAGGAGGTCTGAGGGAGAAGTCAAGTTGCAGCAGAAATTGAGACGTTTCTTTAAAAATTATAGGATCTTTGTATGCTCCTTATTTTTACAACTTTTATTTCATTAAAAAACTGTTAGGTCGAGTTCGGGAGAACTGCTCTTGACACAGGTTTCTTGTTCTTGCGATTAAACGGCGGGAACACGACTCAAGAACACTGTTCTCGGAACAGGATCACACACCACCTCCTTGTCAGGGTTTTACAGGAACACACGGAAAGACTCGAATTTTGAACAGCTGCAAAAAATAGTGATATGGCTTACATAGTCGGAGACGATAGGAAGTTTTACAAAATTTACAATAATTATTTTATTTTCCGTAACACAGAAGTGAATGTTCACTTTTAATAGAAAAGAATTCAACCCAGTTATCCAAGGATTAACTTTCGAACCATGTACTATGATATGGACGCCGCCATGTTGCATGCTGCTTGTCACTAACTACCAGCGATAACCAATCATAGGTTCCCGGAGTTTGTGCGGCCGACCCAAGAAGAACAAATCAAGCTGTTCATGAACGTTGATCATACGAGAACAAGCCGCCCGAACTCAGCCTTAGTTTCTCTTGCTTTTTGTCCATTTTCATGTCAGAAAATGAACTATGACAAGAGGATTCCTTTGACGCTGCTGACCCATTACTTCTGAAAGCATTTGTGATTTCTACTCTGTTAGAAATATTTTTCCAGACATCCCTTTAGGGTTTTGTGAATCAAAAGTGACATTTTTTTAAACACTTAAAATTGTCTTTCCCTTTTCCTAACAAGTGAGGGCGCTGTTTTACAGTAATTGGAACATCAATCAGGGAAGACCACAAACCTAAACTATCTATGGACCAGACCAACAGCTCCTACAGAAATCAACGATTGATCCCGAGAGTGTTGGCAGAAATATTTCAACAGTGTGCACAAGTCTGCTGAGTTGGATACAAATCAGATATTTTGGATGGTGACTGAAAATACATGTACTGTTAAGCTTTTACAACCTGGTCCCTTTTTGTGTTTTGGTTCAAGGTACATGTAGGTCCTTCTTTAAATAAGAGCTCTAAACACTTACATTTTGTCCATATTCATTGCTCACCTTCAAAAAGCCTGAACAAATCCCCATAATGTACATGTACGTGATTTTAATTTTTAGACTTTATTTTTGAAATGTTTCGGAAACAAAATTCTCAGTGCTCTATCGGATAAAACTTGAGAAAATATGTTAAATTTGCTTTTCAAAATATTCATTCAACAGGGATGTCAGGAATTTATCTGAATTTCACATAATGTGCACCTTGGCTTCTACAAATGGCTTGTAATAATGGGCAATATTATGAGGAAGAAAAATTGAACTGTGCCGGGTTAGAACTTTAAATAAAAGACCAACAGGGCCAAATAATATTTGATAGCCAATTGCCACAGTTGCCCCCAATCCATCTTCTTTGATGTAGAGCAGTGCTGCACAGCAAATTATGAAACCCCAGGGGGCAAGGCAGCCATTTGCTCATGGTTATTAAAAATGGAGACTTTCCTTAAATTATGCCCCTGCTGTTGTCGGTTAAAAGGTATTTTATGTCTATGATTAAATGTTTCATTTCACGAGTCTTACTATAAAACTATGAAACCCAAATTGCTCCTTGAACATGTTGACCATGTCTCAGGAAATGTGGACCATTGATTAATGGTAATTTGTCATGGAACAGCAACAAACCATGGTGGAAAAGGAACTTTAGGTCAGGAAAATGCAAGCAATTTCAGTATAGTGGGTGCATTCAACTAGCTTGCCCTGGTTACAAGGGTTTAACCTCATCCCCATCATCTTGCTTGGTTGACAAAATGCACACAACCGTCCCTAGGTCAGGATTGCCCTAACAGCTAGCAGGCAGGCCACAAGCACCCAAGGGTGGATCCTGGACCCAATTTTTTTTTGGGGGGGGCAAACTTGATTCTGGGGGCCAAATTTTTGTTAATTTTTAAAATTGTTTGAGGGGTTAGGCTACATTTCCACTTTTCTAAAAAAGGGAAATTAAATTCTTTCATTTTTTTCAAATGAGAACAATTTTTGCTCCTTTTTTGGTCATGACCCCAATTGGCCCCTCCCCCTTTCCCGGATTCATCCTTACAGAAAGTCAGCAATGATATGAAACACAGGACTCTTACCTGTGCTACTTATGATGTAGCCTGCCTCTTCACTTTGGCAATTTCATCGGTCATTTCAACTCATACCATGACACTAGCCAGCCTCAACATGCATGTAGGCAGCCACGGCAGTACATTCACCTAGCAATGAGGCCTTCCCAAATCTAAACACAGGGAAAATGACAAAAACCAACAAGAAAAGGTCATCACCTAAGGTTTTTCAGTCACACTGTAATAATAACTTTTTCCCCAAATGAGCAAAACATTGATGTTTCAACCCATCACCTCTTTAGTGTGGGTTAAATCCATAAAACCATACAATGCTGGGGAGTGCAGGGTGTAACACTAACAGGCTGGGTGGGGTCAGGGCCCAATTTCATGGGGCTTCTTAACAGTCGAAACTAGCTTGGAAGATTTTTATTCATGCTGCAGCCAAGGGCCTGCCATCAAGAGTTGACGAGACCGAGTTGACTGGGGACCGAGTTGACCTGAGATGGAGTTGAGTTGGAGCGAGTTGATTTCAGACCAAGTTAGCGACTTCACACAGACATGACTGATGAGTATACAGTGTGTGTACATTGCGATGTTTTGCTGGACCATAACCAAATCTTTAAAAAGGCAATTCCTAACTAAGAGTCCAAGTTGCTCAGACTATTACTGACTGATCTACACCATCCTGATGCAGTCGCGTCAAATATCATTTCAACAATTCAAATATGCAAGATGTGTGCAAAATAAAATGTGTCCTTCCTCCATGATCTAAGTGGGCATACAGGCCTACTAATCACAGAAATGAGTCATGCACATGTACTGTAGCCAGAGAGTGTAGGCATGCCTAGTCCTACATTTAGGGTCAGTCGCAACATTAGTCCACCCTGGACTCCAGGGGGACTCCCTGACCGTCTCAACATGGTCGTTTCCTTTCTCCAGGGTCTCATCACCTGATCACTCTCACTCAACTGAAGAACTAGGCCTTTGTTGAACTTTATTCCTGTAAAGTGTGGAATAATAAAAGCAAAATCCATTGTACTTACTCCATCAATGACATGACGTAGGTGTGCCAGCGATTCCTCAAAGACTAATTTCTTGATGGTCCACGAAGTGGCGAAAATAAACGGATTACAGCGACCACCCATGCGTTCAGTATACTTCCCACGTGCACTTGTGCCACCGCACCCACGTGCTGTTTGCAGTATGTCCGTCTGGTCTGTCTGTCCCGGGTTTTCGATGCAGCATGAGTTTTCCATAGTGACGTCATGCACCGAGTGCCGAATTTTCTGTAAGCAGAGATTAAAATAACCCCTTCCCCTCCTCCCCAAAAAAGAAAAGCTTTTTAGAGAGAAATATTGCGGTAAATACTGAAAATGAGGTCACCGCTCAGAGCAATTTTCCTGGCAGGAAAAGATGAAGCCATCATTTTGAACAATTTTTGGATTGGAATAAAAATTAGGTTCACTTTTAAAACAAATTAGCAGTCAGAAAGTCAAACAAGAAAATGAAGCCGTCAATTTTGAACAGTTTTCTGCGGTAGAAACAGTGATGGAGTACCTTTTTGGTAATGATTTGGCGAGCAAAAACAATTTTTTTTTTCAATCCTCAAATAATTCTTGAAAGCTTTTCTCTACAATTTTGGTAGTGAAAAGGTTGAAATACTAAAAAGACCAATGCTAAAAATAGAGAAACTTACAGGACAAACTATTTGACTTTTACATGAAAAATTACACTAAAATACGATAAAATTTGTCGTGGATGTTGACCGCGCTGCATAAGCGGCCGTACCGGGCCGCCGTAGGCCATAGAGCTAGCTGCTTAAGCACAGAATTTGCTTAAGCATGAAAAAAACCTTGCTTAATAAACAAAGGTTACCAGCTCAAACTCTATGTGGCCTGGTTGTCATGCTCACCAAAAGACAAGTAAATACCATTCCAAACCATCATACATTCATTACATGAAGTTTTGGCTGGTAACCTGATTCGTCAAGCAAGTTTTTTTTCACGCTTAATGACATTTTTCGCTTAAGCAGCGCTATGAAATTGGCCCCTGGGTAACAAATAATTAAATTCACTTGGCCCAACGGCCAAGTGGCTGGTCGATATCAAGATGGCGTTCCACCACACAGTGTGTTTTGTTTTCACTGTCCTGATTGTCTGCAATGTCGTGTTGTATCCTTCTCTTTTCAGCAGCGTTTTCAGAAAATGGTTTGGATCATCGGGTCCAGTAGACGAAGAAAAGGAACCATTGCCAGGTAATGGTGTTAATTGTTAAAGAATAAATAGGCTCTATGGTGAAGGATTTCGCATCGTCGTCACACCATCATCGACACAATGATCGATCAGGATCCTGATGATCGAGCATCGTTCAGATTATCAAGCCATTTGGATTTTATTTGAACCCATTTTAGAATCCCATAATATGTTGATCCAATACAAAATTGTTGTACTTTTTTCTTTTTATCGGAAACGATTATCGTGAAAGTACCATTTCACTCGCTTTTGAAATCCGGTCCGGAAACTGGGCAATGTTAATTGTTATTGTCCCGTCCGTCATGTCTGTCAGTGTCTGTGTGGCGATTACCGTAGGTCTACAGTCAATCTGCCTACATGATTGGGTGATCTAGGCCGTGTATTGACCTAATATATTGATCCACACCAACCTATGCATAAAAAGGTGTTTATGGTCTAGGCTATAGGCCCTAGGCCTAACCACACCATAGTCAGATGGTTAGGCCTACATGGAGGAATTTTTTTTAAAGAAAAAAAGGTTGAGGTGTACAAATGAAGCTTACACGATGTAGCCTTGTTTAACTTGCATTTAAATGCATTGAATAAATACTTGCCAGATTTTATTGAAAACTGTTTTTTCTTTTCAACTGAGTCATGTGCTTTCTTATTCCTATGCTGGCCCTAACGTTAGACATGCCGCCACACATGAGGCACGGTCCACGCACTCCCGGCGCAGCACGGCGTATGGAGATGGAACGAGCTGCCCAACGTAACATGAAACACGGTAAGACTGTGATAATGAGCACTGAGAACTCAAGTCTGAGTGAACGCTCAACAATTTCCTGATTTTTTTCCTCAAACTTTGTTGATGTAAGATCAAGTTTGAAGTAATGCTTGTGAAAATCAAAATCAATTAAATACTTTTTTACTTTTTATTACCGCCACAAAGTGTCCTACATGAGCCAGATTGGCTGCCTGTGAGTGTTCCTGTGACCTGATGGAGCCCTACACACACAGATTCAGATCTGCCTGTTGATAGAATTTGACAGGCCCCTGTTCTTTGTTCCATATGGATATCTAAATGTTGACGTTGAGCTTATTTAAAGCAAACCATAGAAAGTTGAAAGGCATTTGTGACTTTTTCACTGACGTTCAAACTTTATTAAGGTTCTAAGATGCTCTGTTTTGAAAAATAAAGATTTGTGACATTTTGCTTTCCAATTTCGGTGTCCCTTTTCCACAAGCAGCCGATCCGGCATCATACTTTGCCCAGCAGAAGCAGGAGGCCGCGGGCAAAGGTCGCGGCCTGCTGGGGTCGGTACTTCCTGTCTATGCCGTGGGCATCGTGGTATACTTCGCCTACATCATGTACAGGGTAAGCCATGCCATTATCACCGATCAGCAGTCACGGGAATAAATATTCTTTAGAGGTTTTTTATTTTTTAAAGTGTAGTTCTGATTAAAAACCCGGTAATTTGGGACTACGTTTCAACCTGCTTGCTCAGATCATCTTCAGGTTTATTAACAGGTAAGAATGATAGAGGATGTTCTCGCTGAAATTTTAGCTGTACACTTGATAGTTGAGAGTAGAGGTGAAAGCAAAAAAATGAAAGTTCTTGTCAATTAGCACCCGTCCTTTCTGATGAATAAGTTTACACTTGTAATTCAACCGACGGTACCTCGATGTGTTAAAAGTACTGTATTTGAAGAGAGGTTTGCGTAATCAGTTATGGTGAATCTGAACACAGTTTGAGTGATTCCGAGCCTAACCTTCTCAAAAATGTGATTTTTTATTTTGTTTTGTCTCTGGTCTCATTTCCCTTGGCAGATATTTCTAAAAGACAAGGCCAAGAACAACACCGCAGACGGTCCGGGTTCCAGCCTGTGGGACTCCAATCGCGACGGCGCCACGCTGCAGCGGCTGCAGCAGGAACAGCTGCAGAAGCAACTGTCGGAGCAGCTGCGGGCCGAGAACTACAGCGGCATCAAAGTCAAGAAGGCCGGCAAGGGGAGCAAGACGAGGAAGCCGCCCGTCAGGAAAGATTCCAGTAAGTCTCAGGCCCCGCCCACCCCCACAGATAAAGTAGCCCCTATTGAAATCAAAAATAAAATTCTCGATCCGATTCCCACACCCAGAGATTTGGCCCGAACAAAATTTGACCCAACCCGACAAACTGAGGCTTTCCACTTTTGAACAACGGCTAGCTCAACAAATTTTGCACTGTTGAATTTCAGAGTTTCAATCTGTCACCGCCCGTTTGAAAATTCCTTTTAAAAAATATTATTCCCTCGTCAGACACATCAGAAGAGACGCCGGACGAAATGGCGGCGCTGAAGAAACGGCTGGAGAACACGGAACGCTCCATGCAGCGCATGATGGAGATGATGAACAGCATGGGCATAGCCATGAGCCAGGTCACCGAGCAGCTCACAGGTAGGTCCTGTCCGGACACCAGAGGGCGGCAGAGAATGCGCACTGCCAGAGCTGTTAATAGAGAGTTGTGACATGAGTGTCTCCATTGTTGGAACCAAAATGGTGGATTGTGCGTCAGTGCACACAATAGCTGCATGCAGGTCTAGACACGTGGTGAACAGCCATTTTGGTTTGAGAGAGAGGCTGAAACTCGCCATATCTGGAAGGTTGTACTTCAGGTTGAGAAGGAATTCTCACTTCATCTTATTTCTTTGTAAAGGAGCTGTGCCATCGAAGCTCACAAACTCCCTTGACCGCCCTGCTCAGCTCACTGACGAGGCTGACGACGGAGGTCAGAGGTCAAGTGAGGGGGACCTGGACTCCAACCTCGACTCTGATGATGACGCATCAGAGCAGGACGAGGCAGGGACTAACCTGGAAGGGGACGCAGGAGCAGCGGACAGCACCACCGACGAGGAGGGGGGTGAAGTGGAGGTCCTCAGAGGGGAACAAATGGAACATTCCGACGCTGTGCGGAAGAGACTGGTGCCGGCCGTCGGTGGGGAGAGCTAATTTCCACTTTTGTAACCTCTGGTATTTTTCCCCTTCTCTTCTGTCACACACAAACACTGTATGTATCCCACAATGCAATTTATTCTCAGCAACGGCATAGCCAAGGAGGGGAGGGGCAACTCTCCTCCCACAGAGAACTCTCACACTTCGGCAAAATTGCCTTTTTGGTATCATTTAATGTCATGAGTTGTGGTTCGCTTGAAACAAATTTATATCAAAAGTGTGAATTTAACCTATGTACTCTTGAATTTTCATATCAAATTGCTATACAACTAACATAGTACATGTATTCTGTGTGGTTGAATATTTTGTATTGCATTTAACATGTAATTTATTTGTGGTCTGGCCAGTTTGCCATTGGTGTGGTTAATTTAACATTTTTCCATGGTGCAATATTTAGAAGGGTACATGCTTTTTCAGGTAGTTATTAGATTTCACGGTACTAAAGTTTAATGAATAGATTACATATGCTGCTTTTACCCCAACCCCAAGGCTGAGCTGAATGTTCAATCGTTCATCAAATGTATCAATATTTAGTGTTGAAACTGAATATTCGGAGTGAAAAATCAGTAAATAAATGAAAAGAATGTTCACTATATTTGGTTGTAAACTTGTATTCTTGAAGCATATTTTGAGGTGTTACATGTACAAATGAACTTACGTGTAACAGCAACTTACAATGCCATATGTCCAAACATAATGCAAAAGTTGGGCAAAAAATATTTTAGTGTGTTTTGTGGGTTTTTTTTCTTTTCGACTTTTGGTTTGTGGTCTCACTGGGACTCCTTAAAAGAAGAAATTGACAAGTACAGTACTGGAAGTTTATCCCGCAAGACATGCCAATTGGTACAGTGTATCAAATTAAAATATTTCTTCTTCTGATCTGCATCAGGCCTCCAAACAACAAAAAGCTGAATTGTGTTTGAAGTAAAAGCTTCCACTCTGAATCTTTTGTCTCTTGCATCGTTAGCCTGGAACGTTTTCCAGTTTCTGAATGTGTTAATACATATATATAGTTATATTATTACATGTACATAAACGTCATACTTTATCATGTGGATTGTAAAAGTTCACATCAGATATTCAGTTCGCCTATCATCGTTTGTTGTGCCCTTTGGACAGTTTGGGACTGCTTGAAATGAGACTCATGTGTATTTAAGTCTGCAATGGGCAGATGTGTAGTTAGCGTACAACAGCTCATTACGCGTGGGCTTTCAAAGAATAGTCGAACCTCGTTTGATAATAAGAGCACTATTAATGCAAGATTCTGCTTATAGCAAGGAAATTGTTCGGTCCCAGTCCTTCGTTTTTCATTGCTTGCATTTCTGACGATGCAAGGTTCCTGTTGTAACAAGGTACTAGTAATTTACCAAGTCCACAGGACCTCTTATTAACGAGGTTTGACTTTATTTGCTGCTTGTTCGATCCTAGATTGTCTCAAATTTATGACTTCGAAGTCGTTAAGAATAACAGCTTGACCAGTGAGTGTTTCTAATTATATTTAAGTGGACGTTTGCCACATGAGAACATTAAGATTTGACGTGCTTTCACGTATTGCGTGTCAACAAACACACTAGACATGTGCACAGGCCGATAGAACACACGTACATGTATTTGAAATTTGTTCATCCCAGGTTTGGAATATCACGATATTCAACAGACGCTGTGGTTGGATAATAATGCTTGGGAACAGCGATAGGCTCATTTATTTGGGAAATGTATTTTACAGTGTAGTGTGGTGAATTGCACACATGTGCTCTGTAGGACAGTATCTCTAATGTTTGTGCTTGTCATTTGATAATTTCCTCAATTTTTGCAGCACCCGTTTTTATTCACAGCTACTATTTCTGAAGCCAGGCATCTACTAACGGAATTTGATAGGTTAGTTGGAATTATTGGTGTTTGAAGGTAGACCTTCAGAATTTGTGTACATGTAAATGCTGCAGTTTATGTTCCCTGCTTGGCAAATAGTGTTCACTATTTTGTTTTGGTATTTCTGAAATGGTTTGCTTGTGTGCCCTATTCCCTCCTAAAACCTACCAGTACTCTCGTGAAAGCAATCAGGCAAGTTGGTAGCATTTATCTATAACAGTTCATATTTCCAGTAAAACCTGCAGTTTCATCATGCCCTGAAATAAAGGGATTCATACAAAGCTGTAATGTTAAGAGTTGCTTGATAAAATTTTTGTCCTTCTTTGCAAAGCGGTGGTGGTTCGAGGTTTTCATGTACGTGTATTCGGCTGGAACAGAAATCTTTCAGTGTTGGACACCAGACTCTGCACAGACGCATGCTTGCCTTTTACGCTTCTGAAGAGAGTATTTTTTCTTCGTTCAAAACTGGGGAAAAGATCAAAAACCAACCAGAAAAAACAGCTCGAGTTGAAAACAACCCGTACTGTTCACTTGGCCAACAAATGTTAACACCAGAGCTGATTATAGAGAGTCGCGCCAACTTCAGACTTTGGAGCCAAAATGGCAGTCCATGTGTACAGTACAGCACGAAACTATTGTGTGCACATGTGCGGAATCCACCATTTTGGTTCCAACAATTGAGACACTCTTGTAGCAATTCTCAACACAGCTCTGGCGGCTGCTTTTTCCTACATCTCTTGGTGCGGGTGAACATGTCAACACGAAGTTGATTCACAGCAAAATAACGAATCAACAGTTCACTCGGGGATTCCATAAATATCTCCGCAACTGTTTATAATGATCAAGATTATAAATACACAAAGCAAAAGTATAAATAGTCGAATATAAACAACCAACTGTCTTGTTACCCTCCATATTTTAGATAATTAATGTACTCTGGTGCTTTTGGGTACTTCAGAGAGAAACAAAAATTGTCGATTACAGGAAACTGATATTAAAAGGGAGCAAATCTTGTTTCAAAATTATCACATTGAATGCACAGTGCATGTTCTCCAGTCCAACAGTTTCATCATAATAAGCTGAGATTATCATTCAGAATGATGACGGAAATAATATAGCATTAATTCACTTCAAAACCAAATATCATTCGGTGGGAATATGAGTCCCGAGTTGCATTCAAGTCATATTCAAGTGAGGTCAAGTTTGAGGTTTCATAATATTTGGAAAGGGCAACCCGTCTCCTATTTAATTCCAAATACTTTGCACGATCGTATGTTTAGAAACGTCATGTTCTCAGCCTTTGTAACGATGGCATTATTCGTACCTGGTCTGAAATGTTGAAACCAAGATGGGAACAAGACGCCAAGCTGCCAGAATAATGCCACATTCTCACCTTACACTTTTACCCCAAGTGTTCCATGTACATACCACTAGAAAGCTCTTTTTGGCTGAAGTCAAAAGTACCAATATCTCAATTTTTGGAAAATTCCGACTTTCAGCTCATTTTGTGGTGACAGGTCACATCTAAGGCTTTTCTGGTCACGCGACAATGCGTGCGTAGAATTCTGAAAAGTACATGTATTCACTACCTGACTATGTTTAACAGAGCTGGGTGAACGCACAGGTAAATATGGATACAAAAGTATAAAAATAACACCGAAAATGAAAATGCTACAAACTGTAAAAGAAGTATTAAAATGAACAGCCCGACTCCATTTCTACTCAATATTGATCGTGCACTTTACCATCACAATCAAGGAAGGGCAACTGCTCGTCCGTCTTGGGTAACATCGTGCACGTATCCAAATGCACTCAGGCAGGAGACACTGAAGACAAGCCCTCGTATGAATGGGTTTTGGATCTTTCCAGGCAGTATCAGGCATTGAATGCTTCCAGAGTCTGGACGATCTTCCGGGGTGCACGCTCAAGAATATTGCACGTGGTTCAAGGTGGCGTGTACACGGAACAGGTACAGGTGCCTACAAAATTGCAAGGCTCGTCAAGGCCCACTGCAATGTTCTTTACTGCTTGGTTTTTCCTGATTTCAAATATTCCGCTGTGGATCTTGAAGAATCTTGGAAGGGTGTGGGACGACAGATCTTGGGTTTAAGAACCACTGGCAGGTTCGAAACTATCGGGACGGTTTTCCAGTGGCAGCATAAACAATGCTGCCAGATTATCTCAATCTGAGTCACCTATCCCAGTCCACCTGTCACTGGAATCATACATGTGCCTGCCCAAAAATGCATTCAGTAGTCATCTCTTATCCCGGCAAGGAGGTCCTGGGTGTATTTTTTGCCCAGAGGCCTCAAGGAAAGGTTCCACCACGCATGGTGATTACTATCAAACACTGTTCTCAAATAATAGTATCAACGTTACCAATGCTTCAAAGTGAAATAATTTAAATAACACACAAAAAACTATTTCAACACAAATTATGCCTATTAAAGAAACAAAATCATGTGGTCCCTTCAGTCAAGTACAATCGAGTGACTGAAATTTGTTGCAACTTCAACAAAGCAAATGGAACAAATTTAAGGAAATTACCGTTAAAGAATTTACAGATCTTGGGAAAATTTCTCTTGTATTATAAAAAGGAAGTCAACTTCCTGATGGACCATGGATACCTGTCTGCATCAGCTTGTACCCTGGGTAGTGTCTGGAGGCAATCCTGAGAGAGTGGTGGCTGGTACTGCTTGGGCAGTTGATGCTTGAACTGGGGCAGTGAGTCGGGGTATTTTGGGATCCAACAGAGGTGGCGGCATCGGCAAGGATCGCTTCGCGCCCGTCTGGAGACTGGTCTGGGATGGAGGTGTCAACAGATCGGTCAGCGCAGTCGGCAAGATGATTTGGGATGGCAGTGCCTGGCCAACTACTTGGCTGCTCACAGACGGTTGAGCCAGGACCAGGTGCGAGGAACGAGGACCAAGTGGCCCCGCGACTGGGCTGGCTGGGTTGACTGGTTGGAGACTCTGCGTTTCTTGACTGGGCAGATTCTTCTGGCTGATCGCATTGCCTACTGCCAGGAGCCTGACAGCTGGCGCTTGCCCAGCAGCTCGAGCCTGGTTAAGTATCTGGATGCTGGCCTGCAGTTGTTGGTCAAGCTGAGTGCCTGATGAGGCAGCCGGTGGACTGGTTTTGATGGTAGCAGGTACCGACTGTTGGAGCTTTGTGATTAGCTGCGATGCTTGTTGGGATAGTACTATTGGGACAGCGTTGACCACCTGCCCTGCTTTTTGCTGGTTTTGGACTGGCTGTTGGACGACCTGATGACCAATCTTGGAGACTGGAATGGTCTGAGGTGACAGTTTGAGCTTCCCTGCAGCTAGCTGCTGCAGGATGACCTGTTGGAGATGCTCCTGGATTGCTGTCGTGGACCCAGACGGCGACCCCTGTGTAGCCGCAGCTGCCACCGCAGAATCTAATGGCCGGGACTTGACAGGCAAGTGAACCAACTGCTGTCGTGCCGGAGTTTGCGCCACCACCTGCACTCCCTGTGGAGCAGCTGGAAGAGCCTTGGTCACCACAATTGGCATGCTCCCAACTTGACTCGGGTCGGTTGTCGGTACAAAAGTCGCTGCTGTCGAGAGGTGGCTGGGATGGACAAGCCGAACGACTTTCTTCGGGCTCGCCACGACCACCTTGGAATCCCCTGCACCTTTGACGACAGCCAACTGTGGCTTCTGGATCGCAGCGGGTGCTGCTTGATTCTGGGTCTGACTGACTTGGGACAGGACCGCTTTCACTGCCCCCTGCATCCCGACACTTTGGTTGGTCATTGCGACAACTGCTCTACCCGTTCTATCTTGGTTGGCTTGGAGTGCAGCTTGTGTGGGGTTTTGGCGAGCATCTGTTGGCTGTGCTGCTCCAGTAGCTTGTCCCAACAGAGGACCGCCGCTTCCCTGAATCGTCTGCTGCTGGCTTCTACTCACACTCGCTGGCGCGGCATTACGAATGACCTGACCCGGCTGCATCACAAACTGAACAGTCTGTGACATGCTCACTGTAGCAGCATTGGTTGTAGAGACAACTAGCGCTGCTGCCTGACTGGTTTGTTTTACAAACTGTCTATTCTGTCCTGTCATGATCACCGGAACTGTGCTTCCCGAATTCCCAACAGATGAAAGACTAATGAGCCTGGGTGCTTGATTGGGACCAGTGCGCACCACAAACTGGGTGCCACTGCTTGTCTGGACAAGATGGAACCTAGTACTTGGACCTCTGGGAGAAACTGATGATGAGGTAGAGTTCTGTGGGGCCGGGGGTCGCTGTACAATCGGAGATGACTGTCTGCTCTGAGAAGGGACGGTGGTAGCAGATGGCACAGTGGCACAATGCTGGGAACTCACTGGGTTCACGGTCATTTTGGGATGCTTCAACGAAGCGGTGACTGTAGTCTTTGTGGACAGTCTTGTAGGCTGTGCTGTCACAGGCAGAGGCTCAGTGATCGGATGGCAGCTGCTTGCTGAAATTTGAGAGGGCTCAACAGACGGAGCTGTGTGTCTGACACCTAACACAATGGGAGCCTTTGCTGCCCCTGTCGCCTGCTGTGAACGAGTGGAAGGACGTAACTCTCCCGAGGCCGATAATACAAAGTGTTGATTGGCCTGCTCCTGAATCAGTGGCTGCTGTTGCTGTGGTTCCCCATTCTTCTGTTGTGACTGCTGCTTTTGTTGTTGTTGCTGCCGGTACAGCTCAAGCTGCCGCTGCTGCTGTTGCAATAAAGCTATCAATTCCTTCTGTGACAGATTTGAGACGGGCTCTGCCAAACCTCCACGATTTCTGGCCTTTGGCCGGGCCGGCTTGGACAACTTGATAGGCTGCAGAGAGGACAGGTCTGAGATGTTTGTTGCTGGTGGAAGTCGTGCCGTATTTCGCGCGGGGCTGCTGGTGGTTCTTGTCTCCGATGACGTTTTTGGTGGTACGGCCTGGGCCTTTGGCGGGCTGCGTATGCATGTCACCGCCTGCGCCGGGTTGCTCAGTCCTACCCCAGAAGTGGTCATGGAGCCGGACTCGGCTTGTTTGCGCTGCATCTCTCTGATCTGTTGCAGGACAAACTGCTGCTGCAGCTGTGGCTTGCCCTGGAGCTGAGACCAGACGCTGGCGTCCACCTTGATTGTGTACACACCGTGTGGCACAGCTCCCACATTATCACCAATCTGAGAGGTACTAGCAGCAGGAGCAGCCTGGCCACTGGTCGCAAGTGGAGCTCTGGCTGGGGATGCACCCTTCGCGAGCTCCTTGTCAGACCAACTGTTTGGCACCGTGGGTAACTTGGCTGTGGGAACAGACACTAGAAGGGAACTGCCCGGCCTGGTGCTGTTTCTCACGGCTGCTACATCCACACTGGACATATACTTGACGTGAGCAGAACCTTGGAGGGCAAGCTGTGAATTCTTTTGATATTGCGATGGCTTTGGCAACATTTTAAAAAGGAGCTCTTTGTCTGTGTCACTCCTCGATGACGGCTGGTCTGGGTTGACTGAATCCCCAAGATCCTTCTTTGGCTCAGTTTTGACGACGCTCTCTTGCAAGTTCGGGTAATCCGGCAGCAGTTCCGACAGACCAGTGGCTAGGCGCTCTCGCAAAATCCCCTTTGCCTGGGCCAGAACTGTGTACAGCCCCGCCAGCGTAAAGTCGTCCATGACTTCTTTCCTCTTCTCTTTGGATTTCCATTTCGGGTCGCCTTCCAGAGTGGTATTTGATGCAGAAGATCGAGTTTCCATTCTGCTTGAACTGTTAACTGGATCAGACACAGTGTCGGCATCAGTGGATGCTGGCTGCACAACCTCTTTGGATGGTTCTGATTCCACGGCAAGGTTTTCTTCTTTGGATTCAGGTTCGTCCTTTTGGTCCGAACTATCAGGGCCAGTGCTCTTGGCAACTTTGGCCATTTTGCTTAGGCTATTCTTCAAGTTTCTGAAAATGAGATTGTGGACAAACATTGGGTATGTGCTTATCAGCTCCTCGACAGTCTTGGCAACATTTCCTTCCACAGCAGGTGGCTTCCCATTGACCCAGAACAGTTTGTTTAGCAAGGCTGTCACTGCCTGCCCATCCCCGCAGTCTGACAGGGAAGCCGGGTCTAGCTTGGACTTGTGGGCCATCTGGTATCGGGCAGCCTCCGCCCGCTTGATCATTGTCTGCAGTCGGCGGCAAGCGTCGCTCAGGCCATCGTTGGAGAGGTTCTTGATCAGCTGCAGGAGGCTGGTGTTGAGTTGATTCTTGTGTGGGGGGCTGCGTCGCCCACTAGGTCTGGGCCGCTTGGGCTTCTTGGCTGCCTCTTCCTGGACTGGCTCTCCATCCTCTGCTTCCTCACCATCGTCTGGAGTAGCAGAGCCTTGGGTTCTCTTGACGGTGCGCTTCCTGAGCCTCATAGTACCTTCAGTGCTGGCATCCCACTCTTCATCCTGGTCATTAGCCGCCTGGTCTTCCTCTTCGCTCCCCGATTCAGCTTCACTTTCAGATTCCGACGACGATTCCTCTGATGCCCATATGTCCTTGATGTCCTGTTGGAAAAATGACGCATTCAGGTGAACAAAATGACAAACTGTTGACAACAAGCAGGATTTGATTCCAGCGAACTCCACTACCACAACTATGAACAAACACAACACTACAGCATTAAAACAATTAAGTCTTTTACCCCAAACATCCTAGGCAATAAGAATCCTTCATTAGGTCCCATATAAGGAACACTGAAGGATATAGTCGACTCTCGTTAATACCAGGGCCTCGGGACTTACTAAATAGACTCATATTATCCGGACTTCGTCTTATGAGAAAGCTGCTGTCCCGCTTGTCGCATGTGTCACCGATCGACCACATGGTTAAGCATACATCATGTACAACTTAAAGTATATTGTATGCATAACTTTTTTGCCCGTACGTGTGATTTGGAATTAATTTCAAAACACTTTATGTTTATGAAAGTGAGATGTAGATGTACTGTTTTATGAATAAAGATTTGTAATAAAGAACAATAACATAATAAAAGAACAGAGAAACCGGTCAAGTCGAGTTGGAGTGAGTTTCACGTCTTCAGCACGCCTTGATGAGATCTTCATACAACGCACGCACGTGAGTACATTAACATTTTAGTTGGTAACTAACACCAGTGCTGCGCTTGTTGCACAAAAAGGGCGGGAACCGGCTATTGGTGGTGTGGATCGGTCAGTAGAGGGCGAATATCGAGTACTGTACATTTTAATTTGAAACGGCGTGTGGTTTTGGTGAAAAATTTTTAATTAAGCGAGGGATGCAATTTTTTTGTACAAAAATTGTGGATGTTATTTTCTTAAACACTTTTGATCTGAAAACCAAAGTTTAGTCACAGTTTTCTTATGGGAATTTTAAATGTGAATTTACAGAAGTTTGCAAATCAGATGGGGCGATATTTTTCTTAAAATGGGAATTTATACAATTTCCGAAATCGGATGGGGTGAAAGTTTTCTTGCTACAGTGGGAGAAGGTAACTTTTTTATTTTTTTAATTGATTTTCCTGAGGGAGTTTAGTCTGGGGAATTTTCTTTGGGGGGAAGGAGGACTCATGGCCCAGCATCCTTGCAAGTTGCTCAGCTTTCTCCTGTAGTGGAGGACCGTTCAACGGGAGGTTCTTGGTTCTTGCTCCCCAAAGCCAACGGAGTAGGGCCTCCTCCACGTCTTCAAAAGTAGCCGTGCCAAACCACTTCCGGGAAGGCTGGAACTTGACCGATTCGAATTTGGCAAGGATGTCAGCTTTGTTCTTGAGGATAGTTGACAACGTACTGGAAACAATTCCATACTGGCGCCCGGCATCAGCTTTCTTCCGACCAGTATCCACAGCTCTGATGATTTCCGTTTTCGTTTCAATGGAAAGTCTCTAGCGAGTGATATTGGAAGCTATTTCTTCTCGAACGATGATGTTTCTCGATTGAAGGTACGATAAACGTATGATTCGTTGGAGAAAATATCTCCCTTATATCATCCGTGGGTAGCGAAGCTTTAATCCAATGAAATATACTTTTTGTTCACTTACGGAAGCGCCTCTCCAAATTCAATGGATTGACTGATTGACAAGTTGCCTTCAAAAACGCTCGCGCTATAGACGAATAACAATACGTTTGCACGCAGCAGGTGCCCCAAAAATGCTCCTCTTAACCGGAATCTCGTAACACGCGAGCTCATATTATGGATTTTTTTTCCCTAATAGGAATGTGCACAATTCAGTCGGGAGCGGCAAATATACTCGTCTTAACCGGAGTCTCATCTTACCCAAGCTCGTATTACCGAGAGTCGACTGTATTACATTACAAACTCAAAGTACTTGAATGACATTCATCCAAACAGTGTGTGTGATAAAATGAAACTGACAAGCTTTAGCAGCATGTTTCCAATCAGTTTTGTTTTGGGGATTCGGCATCATCTTAGGCTTCAGAATGATTGGAATCAAAACATCAGAAATGGTGGCCTCAAATTGGACACTGTTAAAAAAACTCTCATCGAAGGAGGAGGCTAAATTCAAAGGAAAGAAGCCAAAACTGAAGCAGCACGGCCAAAATCTTCTCCCTGCTAAACTAACCTGATCCGTTTCGGGTTCCATCTTGGCCGATTCGTACTCTTTCTTGAACTTCTCCCGGTTGCGCAAGGCAAACTTGGCCAGCCTGGCCTCGTAGGGCGTCAGCTCCAGCAGCAGGTTGGTCAGCTTCTCGTGGAGGTCCTTCTCGCAGCGTCTGCGTACGGGCTGCTTGATGTACGAGGCCACCTGCATTTTGCACAACAAAAAATCTTTGTCAGCCTCCTCGGAACCACTTTAATAGTGGTCTAAAAAAATAATTCTGTCCTGCTTAGGACTTAATACCTTTCTTTTTCTTCCTGTGGTGGGTGGTGGGTTCTTGTTCTCTGGTGGGGCAAACTTATCAACCAGCTCCCTTAATGACTCCATGCTGTCGCAGACCAACTCAAACTCCCCTAGAACAGGGAGGACCTCCTTGTGGGGTGGGGGAGGAGAGGATGGTGGGACATGGAGCTCCCCTTCCGTGGGGGAGGTGGCGTCACAGGGCTTTTTGTCAGGCTCAATCAAGGGTTCCAGTTCACTGGCCGCATCCAAAGTCTGGCTGGAATTGTTGTTGGCGTTTTGCTCTCCAGAGGCTGTGATCCCCTCCGATGGTGTAGCAGCCTCTGATCCAACCTCCATTTTGAGGGAACCTTCCGGAATGACATTGCACTCTGTGCCCTGACATCTCATTCCACTCTCAGAGGTGGGATGGTGACATGTTCCAGACTCTTCTCTGATTTCCTCCTTTGTCTCTAGTTTGGCAAGGAGCTTTGGAGGGTCTTCCGGGGATGCGTTTTCAGATGTCGTGGAGGAATGAATTGAAGAGGTTTCCCCATTGCACAACGGTTCAATTCCGTCAGGTTTTGCTACTGCACCCTGCCTCATGGCTGAGACTACAGATTCGTCAGTTATTTGTTCTCGTTTCATTACTCCAGTGTCTTGTGATGGTTGGTGCTTCTCTTCTCGAACTAATGCATCCATTTCATTTTCTTTGGTTGGTCGGCTAACTTTTAAGTCCTCTCGGTCGTCTCCCTCGATGGGTTTTTCACTTTCTGTATCCTCGTCTCCCTCAACTGCTTCTGCCTTTCCTCCGGGTTGGTCCGGGGTCGTCTGGCATTCCCACTGGCTGTCTGACGCGTCGTCCTCAATCTCTGTGAATTCGCTGGTGACGTCCTCAGACTCGGTGCTGGAGATGATGCTTTCGGCATACGTCCCAAAATGGACAGTGGGGGTCAGCTTCTATTCATGAAACAATTCAAAGAAATAATTTTTTCCCTCTCTCAACCAAATCAACGAGGTGACACCGGACGGCTGGTGTTAAAGAAATCCTGGAAAATCGACAGACTTGACACCAGAATGGCTTACTGGCTCAAAATGCACTACTTTGATAAGGCAGTAACACTCATGTGCTTGCTTTGAAATAACTGGATCCCTCAATAAAAGGTTGCCACAGGGTGAACATCAAAATATCACCACAAAGGGTATCAGACCAGCTAATGAAGCTACCTGTGCATTTATACATGTACGTGTAGACCTTTTATCACGCCTTTGCTTGATCTCTCTTCCGATAACCACTAGAGACCTTAAATCTAGAGGCTGGATCCAGAAGCTGATTCCAGAAACAAACCTGCTGTTTGAGAAAACGGCAGATGTTGACAATTCTTCAAAAACAGAACTTGCCTGTCGCAGTCTGCTTGGTCGCGAACGGGGCGTTTCCACGGTGACGGGTTTCGGCCTGGGAATCTGTTTCCGCAGCGCTGGGGTTTTGCGAAGTTTACGGGGCCGAGGTGCATCTTGCTCTGCTTCACGGTCTTCCCTTCCCTCGGATTTCACCTGTGACAGAATACAAGAATTAAACAACAGAGCAACAACAGCAAATGAGCATAAAAAGCATTCCACTCCTTCCTTTTTTTGAGGGTTCAAAGTCAAATATTGAAGTGGAGGTCAATTTTGGCATTTTGTGATATTTGGAAAAAGTAACCTGTCCATTTAATTCCAGTATTTTTTCGCCGGATACGATATTTGAAAATGTCATTTTCTCAGCAATTTCGACGATAGCATTATTAGCGCCCGGTCAGAAATGTTGAAACAATGTCAGAAACAAACACATACCACCGGAAAGCTATTTTTCTGCTGAAATAAAAAAATACCAATGTCTCAATTTTTGAAAATTCCGATTTTCAGCTCATATTGTGGCGACGGGTCACATATTTGCTACATTAGACAGTGTCGGGACGTCAACATAAGGCCATGATCTGCTTTAACGGATGTGCCAGAACAGTGCGTGAGTACAAAACAGATGAGGGGATGAGACATCTTTTATTACATCTTTCACTTGAGACCTAGGGAACACTCAGTGGTTCCGTTTATCAGCTGTCCCTGGGAACACTGGACGCCACATCACGAAACTAAGTCCTCCGTCGTAAACAAGGTCATAAAACTTTAGTCAACTGCGCAAGCGGCAGGTGCCAGCCAAGGGAGGGCATCCCCACACCCACCTTGTCCCTCTTGGCCGCCTTGAGGAGATCCGGGTACTTGGACTGGCGGTAGATGCGCAGGTCGGCCCCGCAGAAGTGTGGGAAGTGGATGTAGGAGTTGGCCTCGCCGTCCACACCCAGGACAATGGGCCTCAGCTCCTCCACGGGTTGGGACAGGACACAGCGTCGGACCGACAGCTGGGTTTCCTGCACAGCAAATTGGATTGCTTTTTTTCATTATCTGACTTCGGGACGAGTTTCGGAACATGTAACGGCAGGCTATGTAAAGCCTCAGCTTTTGTCTCTAGCTTCAGTCTTTTAAGGGAAGAATGCGAAATTGAAAGCGGTAACTCCAAGGTTCTACACCTGACGTCTTGGAAAATACCTGCCTGCTAAAAAGGGTCAGGTCAGCCCGAAGTTCCAATTGTAGCAAGATCAATTTTTAAGTGTTTGCTGGTCCGCCTTTTCAGCCGGAGTATTATTAGCATGCCATAAAACTGCCGAGGTGAGAGGGGATGTCACTTACAAAGAGCTGGTCGCACAGAGCTTTGGTCACCCAGACCCTCTCATAGTAGGTCAGCTCGTGGTACTGCAGCTTGTCCAGCGGGAAGTAGGGACCGAGCACCTCAAAGAACCTCTCCGGGACCCCGATCTTCTCATAGACCTGCCAGGAAAAAACAAGGTGCGACTTTTAACAGCAAAGCCGGAAATGGCAATCTTGCGAACCGGTGTAAAATGGTCGTCCTACCTTCCAGCGCTCCGGAGAGATGAAGTCCTTCCCCCGTGTCAGACACTAGCTACACCCCCCATTTCCAAGTCGAGCGAATTAAACTATGGCAGTACTTTGTGCCCAGAAAGACACAGAACCGTAACAGAAGACTTTGAGATGCTTGGCGGAAGCAAACATACCGGTCCTTTACCAGTTCTGAGCGTGCCCGCACTGTTCTGAGCGTGCCCCCACTGTTCTGAGCGTGCCCGCACTGTTCTGAGCGTGCGTGCACAGTTCTGAGCATGTGCAGTCGTGTGAAAAAGACTGGTATGTCAGCTGTCACCAGCGACTCAAAGTCTCCTGTTGAGTAGTCACAAGTTACCTGAAGTCAATCACATCATGAGTCCCAAATCAGGACCCCCCCAAAAAAAAAAATCAGACAAAAGTGTGACAAAGGCCATCCTTTTGTCACTGTTCTTCCTCATTATTTCCTGATTTGCTTTCTGACAAACTCAGTTCCGGCCGTTCAGAAGACAATCTCAAGTATACTCCACCTTTGAAATCAAAACTGACGCATACTCACGGAATGCCCTCAATGGCCGTGGCAAGTGGAACACACCGGGCTGCAATTTCAACAATTAATTTGTGTCTTTCTTCACAGACTGTACTTTTCACGAACTGTACTCACTTTGATGGGATCTCTCAACTTGTCCAGGACGATGTACCAGCCACGCACCCACTCCCTGAGGCGTGCCTCCCACACTTTGTACGGCATAGGCGGCTTCTTGCCGAGTCTGCCGAGAGAGGAAATGAAGACACCTGAGTTTCCACTTGTTCACTTGGACAAGACAGGTGACGTGACCGTCACCCATTACAGCACCCAGATGCAAATTTACAGTTTACCGGCATCTTCATTCCCACACATATGTGTATAAAGCTACGAAAAAAGTTTTACAGGGTTTGCCTCACTTTCAATTCAAGATGGCCGTCTACAGAAGAAGAACAATAGACGATATTCACAGGGGACCCAATTTCAGTCAGATTCCCCAACACAGTGTATTCATTTAAAAATGTTAAAGATAAAGAACCAGACTCTATTCCAGGATTTCATTCCGACCCCCCCCCCCCGAATCACCGGGTACCATCCCATTAAGGGTTCCAAAGGTATACATGTACACTTCATTCAGGAATACGACTGAAATTGGGTCTCCCACGAATACGAACATTACTATGGTGACAGCGGTGGTACATCACTCATACATGCATCTGGATATTAATATTAATAATAAGCTTTACATTGCGTTTTACAAAAAATAAACTAAAAACAAAATTATAATACACGTACATTAAACAAATTCCAATCTAAACTTGAAAAGATTGACAAAATCAGAGACTTTTTGAAACAAAACTCACACAATCAGAATAAAATTAAGAATTAACTGGACTGAAAGCCCTGAAATAACCTACAAGGAGCACATGAATAGTTTGATGACCAGTCTTTGTAAAAGTTAAAAAGTGAATCATGTATTTCTCATGATAATTACACAATAAAAACCCTTCAAAATAAAATCATCGAAGTTTAGATGTAACACTGACGATGTTTTGTCTGTGCCTGATTTCAGTCGGGGGATCCTTCCTGAGGTTTGGACAAGCAACGGTAAATGACCCAGCCGTCAGGTTTGTTCTTTGAAATTGGTGGAAGAGGCACCGGCGCTGAACGCCGGCAGGCACTGTACATGCCCCCCCTCCAGGTTAGTGTAGTGCCAACGCAGTCACGTCTGCTAACTCTGATCTCAAGTCCACGAGCTGCGCAACATCCAAGCAAATTCGCCCATGCCTACCTCGTGCGTTGGTAAGGGGTACTGAGCAGGGAGGTGAAGATTCGCCGCAGCATCGTACTCTCCATGGGAATGGCAAACGAACGCTCCAACTCAAAGAAACTGATCTCGTCCAGCTCCAGCACGGACTGGCAGAGACACAGGAAATGACCGATGGCTGGAATCTGCAAGTTATATGAAGGGGTACTTGTTTGAATGCTTGTGCCTTCTAGCCGCGTCGCAAGTCATTTTTTCCAAAAGACAAGTTGGAAGTCATATTTCCACCAGTCAAGTCATATCACAAACCATTTTCTCGCAAGTCAAGTCGCGAGTCACTTTCTCTGAAGTCAAGTGGTACGTCATTTTTCCCAAAGTCAAGTCACAAGTCATTTTTTCCACAAATCAAGTCAAGTTGCATGTCAATTTCCCCAAAATCAAGTCACAAGTCATTTTTTCCAAGTCAAGTGGAAAGTCATTTTCTCCAAAGTCAAGTCGCAAGTCATTGTCTCCCAAGTCAAGTCACAAGTTGCAACACATTACGATTCGAGTCTGATTCGAGTCCAAGTCAGATAATTCAGGTCACGGCTCTGCTAGGGCGCATACCTCCCAGAGGGACTTCATGTACGTCCAGTGGGCCTCGCCGATCAGCTGCTTATCCCAACCCAGCAGGTCCTGCCGCTCCTTCAGGATCTCATCCCGCCGGTCGACGATCTTCTGCCGCTTCTCCTCCCGCTCCTGCTGCTCCAGTTCCCGCCCCACATGGAAGGCCAGGGGTGTGGCCGAGGCTTGCTCCAGGGCACGGGCCGCCAGCCGTGTGCAGGCCCGCCGCAGCCGACCTGAGGAAGGGGGCCACGACAGAGAGAATATTAGGACAGCGTAAAAAAAAAAAAACACTTTAATCATACACTGCACAGAAACAAGCTCAGATAGCACCCCAGCTGTTTTCAGTGCAACACTGACAGACATGTAGCACGATAGATATGTCACAATAGCACCGCAGCAACGAAAATGTAGTGCCCGCATGGAAAGGAACGCTTTCCTTGAATAATTCAGAGCAGAGTGTATTTTCGGAGAAGCGAACAGGGGCGGGGTCTCGGCGAAGAATGTCCCTACAACGTTGTTACAACAACAATCTCTTTGTGCAACAAGGTGCGGAGATTCCTGTCAATGATTCAACACAACTCACTTGTGTCTCTTTCCCTTTTGCACAATGAGTCTTCAGTCTTAAATTTTCAGTGACCAACGAAGACCTCTCTCGGAAGTTAGTTGTCAAAAACAACGAGAGCACCAATCTGGGTCAGGTCCCGTGACGGGTACATACCTGACGACAGTTCCACGGTATTTGGAGAGCCGTCACCGTACTTGCCATTCGACGTGACGTACAATGTTGTCTTCTCCTGAAGTGGCCTGAAAAATACGAGGGAAATACGACTCGGTAAGGAAAGGTTTAGGGGCTGAATGACAAAGCTGTAACAATGTGGGATCTCTTGAGTATTTTTGGTCCAAATACTAGGTATATAGGCTATGGGCTTTCCTTTATCATGATGCTGCCATGTTTGTCTTGTTCCCTGTAGATCCATTGACAATAATACAACTTCACATATTGATAAAAGGGAACAGACTATTTCTCCTTCCGGCCTCAGTTTGGCTACACAGATTTGAATGGAAGGAAAGCAAGATGGCTGCCACATGATAGAGGTCTGTTGGCACCAGGTACCCTTTTCTGTAGGGGTCGAGTACCCAGGGCAACACAAGTTTGCTCCCAAAAGACATAACCAGAAGTACAGCTTTTTCACGGTGCAAATTCTCTCATGAATTTCCCTGCGCCATGCTGCCACTCTTTAGTCACTATCTGTTCTTTGTAGCACAGCGCATGGAGTCAAACCTCTTTAACAAAGAGCACTGTTAAGACACCTTTCTGCTCATAACAAGGAGAAATTTGGGGTCATAATTCTTTGTTCATCATATTTCATTTCTGATAATACAAGGTTCCTGTTATGACGAGGTAATCTGGAAACTCCAAAGACCTGTTATTTTAATAGTGAGGTTCAAATTTAATAATTTCGCACATCAATCACAACTGTCAACTTACAGTTGTGTCCCTTTTAAGAAATGCGGAATCAAAACTGACAGATGCCATGATGTCCAAACATTCTAGGCACAAGATGCATACCACCAGAAACTAAGAATCTGGCATTTTTGGCACCGGGTATCCAGGCATCAGGGTATCCAAGGATCCACGTAGACGTATCCGGTCAACCGGATATCCATCACGACCTTGGTGGCACCTCACCTGGAGAGCAGGGCCAGCTTCTGCTCAAAGACGCACTCCAGCGTCTGGGCGTACTTGGAGATCTGGTGCTTCATGCCGTTGTACCGGTAGCAGTTCTCCAGCATCTGCCGCATGTCCGCCGCAAACTCTGTGATGTCCTGGTACTCCTTCTTGAAGAATTTGGACTCGACTGCGCAACAGAGGACAAGTGATAATGGTGACAACACAACGTGAACATTATCCTTCGTTCTGTGTTCTTGTGCGAAAAGCTCCCCCATATAATCTATTATACAGATCAGACATATCACAGTAAACCTGCAGAAAAACTTGAGACATACGGGTTGAAAGTTGCCACACTTGTTTGGATCAGTTTTACAGTTTGTAAGACTGATCTGTTGAATTGTTAGTCTTTGTGGTACGAGCACACTCTCGGAATGTGCACTATAATGTTAGCATCAGTGTTGTAGTCAAAATCCTTTAAGACCATCACAAAAACCCTCAAGATTTCCAGTTTGAAATCAAGTCACAAGTTATTCCGAGGAAGTGTTCTAAAAGCATTCAGTGGTCCTTGTTCAGACCTCTGCTTAAGACTACATGTGGATGAGCTTGTGACTGGTGTTATGTCTGATCATGTGACCCATCTTGTGACTGGTGTTATGTCTGATCATGTGACCCGTTTTGTGACTGGTCTTATGTCTGATCATGTGACCCGTCTTGTGTCAGATCATGTGACTGGTCTTATGAGTGGTCTTGTGGTTAGTCCTGTGAATCGTCTTATGAAAGGTTTTTTGACTGGCCATTTGTGGTTTATGACTAGTCTAGTAAACAATCTTGTGACTGGTCTTGCGTCTGGTCTAGTGATGGTCTTGTGACTGATCTTGTGGCTGGTCTTGTGACTGGTCTTGTCTGTACATCAAGCTGGCTTTGTGGGTACCCACAGGCATGACAGGGGACAAGCTGTACAGGGCCTGCTTACTTTTTCTCAGCCACATGGGGTGCTTGATCCTGATTTCGTAGTCCCACAGAGTCTCTGTGTCCACGGGTTCCAGGAACGGCCAGACGAAAGACTTGCACTTGTCGCCGAAGATCTCCGTCAGGATGCGGTAGCCCTGCATAAGCTCGTCCGACAGGTCGGGGAACATAGATCATGGTGTTGCCCCGTGGCTTGGGTTGCGTCTTCTGGCCAGAGGACGACGACTTAGAATGGGTGTCTGTGTCTGTCTCGACAGGTTGACTGAGGGAACGGTTTGACAAATCCGGAGGACTCATAGCACGACTTTCGTTCACTACGTCAGATTGTCCTTCAAGGGCATCACCAATTGTGATCTTTTGGGAGGCTGGCAGTGGTGGCATATCCCTGTCATCCTTTTTTAAACTACATGTATCTTCTGATTTCTCGTCTACTTCAATGTCAATTTCACATTGCCCTGAATTCGCAACTGCAACAAATGCATTGGAATCGGACTCTTGAGGTGTCGGCATCCGCGCAGTTGGTGTGACATTATTGCAAGTGCATTCCTCCGGTTGGGTGCTATCGTCAACTATATGTACACAAACTTGTCCTTTGTCACTGTCTATTGCACCGGGTGCACTGATCGGCTGGAATGATTTCGAGACCGATTCAAGTTCTGTTTCGACCAGGCTGGACTTCTGATCGGAAGCACCTGCCAAGGGTGGAGTACTTGATGGAATGCTGGAACCAGCGCTTGGCAGGGTGTGCTGATTTTCAGGAGAATTTGACATCTCATGTTTGGACGAGGTGGCTTCCTCAACCAACATGTTACTTTCCTGGCTCGTGTTGTCTAACTTTTCCACCGAATCATCATTAGAATTTTCTACTATTCTTTGCAATGCCCCTTGTATGCTCTTGTTCAAGCCTGACATATCCTGAGTTCTCAAGTGGTTCAAATCCTTTCCAATAGAATCAGGCTCCTTCCTTCTGAGGCACGCGGGGTCCGCAGCTGAAAGCTCTAAGTCCACATTATTTTGCACGCTGGAGTCATACGAGGTGAAAGAGCTGTTCTGATTGGAAAGTTTGGGCGGCAGTGGACAATCCTCCTTATCTGCTGCAGTGCTTGGTGGATTCGCCACAACACCCTCTGTTGGCAGCGTTCTCTCGTCCAATGGGAGAGTCTCTTTGATGAGCAGCGGAGGGCCCGGCGACTCGTCCAGACACCCATTCAGGAGGAGTTTCTTGCTGGGACTCCCGGACGCATTGCAGACTCCCTGCTCCATGCTTGGACCCAGTGAACCCCCAATTACAGCATCGTTCCAGACAGATGGCTCACCGTCCCTAATGGGAAATCGAACACAATTCAACCTGAAGCTGAGAACAGAAGGTTGTTAGAATTAAGTGACTGTTGTTTTGACCACAAAATAACCTTCGTGAACCATACTTCGTCCTCTGTACAGAAATGTGTGAGCCAGTTTATTTGACAGGCCAGGAAGGCCTGCACATTGAAATACATTCCATGTGCTCAATTTTTTTCTGAACATTTTAAAATGTTTTTGATCTTGGATCTCACCATATCCACCCCCATCCCTACAGAACAAGCACACAGTTACAATTTGCTAGGCCCATCCATCTTTTTTTTTAAATACATGCAGGACTAGGCCTTAGGCCTAGTTGCCTCTTTTGGAGAATTAAAAGCCGACTCTTCCCCAATTTCCTTTTTCAAAAGAAATCGAGAGGGCACTTTTTATGCTAATGACTCAGCAGATACTATCACTTGAATGAGTACACTGCACTCCCTGACCAAGGCTTTATTTCAATTACTTGACTTTGACAACAACTAGCCTGCCCAAGGCCTACATTTTAAATTTTTGTAGTAAAAGTTTGGTCCCACAACCTGACATTGACAACATTTACAGTACAAGTTGAACTTTAGTTAAGAGTAAACAGGTGGCACATAGGCTACATGTACAACTCGCTGCATATGTCGGCATTTTAAGAGAAAAGTCTTCCTTTCTGTAATCTCACGTTGAAGTGTGATGTCTTCACCCTCACACACCTCACCAAACTTTTCCATACAAAGCCCACGTTTAGAATCTGGAATGGTCAACACCGTACACCGTTCTCAACTTTCGCACATTTTCCTATCCCATTCACTTGACAAAGACCCGTTTTTTCAACCGAACCACGCACCCGCACAATTTCCTCTCCCAAATCACTACCAAAACAGCCTTCCTACCTCTTGGTCCGTTGACTGGAAAATCATGAAGTCTTTGTCCTGCTTTCTCGACAGGTGTTTAAGGGTTTTGTGCTACTTATGCGGGTAAAGTGTAGTAAAATTCGCCGGCAACTTCGGCAAAGTTTCATTCATTTTCTCCAACATGAAATCGACGTTTTACCCAGACTGCATCGCGCGTGCGACCCAGAGTGCATCTGGATCATGACGTCATGATTTGCATATTGATATAGAGGTCGCACTCCATGCAAAAAGCTCTCGGCAAGTATTCGCGTCATGGTTATTAATGTTTTCAGCACCAGTAGGCAAATGCGTTATCGATTTTTAATGAACGATTAAAGTACAAACGTAAGAATTTTTTACTGGCTTTTTCCAGTTTGAATCTTAATTGGGGCATACTTTTTGAGAAGGACGTAAACTAAAAGCCCAAAATCGGCCATCTTATATAATTTTTGAGAGCCTCTTTGGGGGAGGCTAGGGTAGGCGGGCCCATTCACCCCCCCCCATTTTGGCAATAATTATCTTCCGATAGCCTCCCAAATCGACATTGTCATAAAAATTTTAACCCTCAAAGAGCTGCGATAATTTAATTTTGGCCCATCTCACTGCTGGGGCGGATTCGGCCCCACCCACACCCAAGAACTCAGATGTGCAACGTTCGATTTTCTTTTCTTTTTTTTTTAAGTTGGCATGTAAAAACACTCTTAACTTGTGATTACAAATGTGAAGTTTGAACTCTATCAGACATACAGGTTTTGTTGTTAAGGTCATTTGAAGATCACGACTGCAGAGGTGAAGCTTACTGTGGGTCCTGCGAAAGAACGGTAAGTTCGATTTCCACGAAATTGGTGTCAAAACTGACCAAAAGGAGTCACTCTAAAAACTCCTATAGGCTCAGCTCCTGAAAAAACACAGCCACTATACTGGGAAAAAATGTTGGGGTGGGTTCTTTTAGGGGAATCATAGCTCCACTGCTCCCCCTCCCGTGGTTGTGTACTGTCAGGTTATAGAATGTGGGTCGCATCTTGCTTTGAGTGAACTAACGGAGTCACCTTTCACTTGAATACACTCCTCCTTGTTGATGTAGACCTACTTAATTGGTCAGAGAAGCATTACCTATACTGAAGATTTAACTCACAGTGGATATCATTAATACATGCTGCCACGGTTCATTGCGTGTCCTTGCAAATTATCAACTTCCGTAGTTTATGTCAAAAGAATGCAACATGAATCTTGTCGATTTCTCACCGAACCATATGAACTGTATTAAAGTGGCCTCAGTGAAAAGCCAAGTTTTAGTGTGTTCAAAAGAACGTTTTTGTTCGTCCAGGCTTGTATTGAGCCTAGCCACGCCGTGTCACTTAGGAGACACAATCATTATAGACTTTTGGCAATAATATGATAAATTCTAGACACGCAGTGAAACCAGGGGTTTTACCAACGTGCTCTCTGTGTTGCATGGCATATCCAGCAGCCTGAGTGGGACTTTATGTGTGAGAAAACGAGAGTTAATAACGTTCGTGCTCTGGCTTTGGTCAGCGGTCAATAATAATCAATAATTCATTCTATCGATCCCGTTAAGCAGAAGAGCCTTGCGCAAAAACTTAAGCATTTTAGCCTTTGTTTCTTGTTGTTTTCAACCACAGCACATAATACTTTCACTCAGTGTTGCGTCTTGCTCGAGCCGGACGTCAGCTTCACACGCGGCAGAGATAACCACGCCAACTGAACAGAGCCGACATGGTCAACTTCACGTGGGATCGACTTCAGAACTTTGTCTGATACGAGGGGATATGGGCGAACAACGTTTCTTGATTTGTCAAGCCGTTAAGGTAGGCAACGTCGTTTCATTGTCTAGACCTTCGTTACTTTCATCCAAACACCTACGGCGCAAATGTACAGGTCTTTTCCTGAACGCACGCTTTGGGTTTCAGATCAGAAGTTACTTTCGACCACTGTAGCCTCGACGTCAGCCGATCGAGTCACTCAGAAAGTCATTGGGTTCTTGAAGTAGCAACAGGCTCGCGATTTGTGTGGAACGGACGGTTCGTTTGTTCTGTACTACGTAGATGTTACCCACAGTATGGAATTTAGTTGTCATGGATTGATTCATGTCTAGCAAAAATACTGAATGGGTTCCAGATATCACAAAATGGTTCTTGGGGTATTTTTGAAAGCCTTTCAAGATCATTCTCCTTATCAGGAACTTAGAAGTAAATTTAGAGATACATTTATCTTAAAAAAATCCAGCTTGAGATATCGTGAAACGTACCTTGGAATGGATTAATGCGTGGCAGGTATCTCTTATCGACATCTGTGATGTGAATGTCTTTTTTTTTACTTATAAAGTAAGATCCCGTGCCGTGTGATCCTACAAAAGAGATTTGGATGGAGTAAATTAATGATGTTGTCCAACTTTGTGAGGAATTCAGACATTACACTCAGCGTTCCAGAGATTAAAATATCACTTTTTTAATGGCAATGATCGAGTGGGCTGGTTTAGTTTTTCAAACTTATTCGGTGTTTTATTAAATCGGAAATGGTCGCATTTGACAGACATACTGTTTAATTTTAACAATGCTGGCTTGTTGGGCCCAAAGATAGGTAATAAGTTGGGGTTTGCTTTCTAGCTCATGACTCAAATCTCCCATTTAGAAACTGTCTCCAGAATAATTGTGGCCAAACCATCGATTTTCATTCAGCCCGCTGGATTTGAAATTGATTTCTCGGCCTGGTCTTCTACCACATGGTTCGATTCACACACATGCATGCGCGTCAGGTGGCAATGAGGGCTCCCTCTAATCCGCTTGCTGTCATGAACGGCCATTTCAATGAGCTTTACATTATATAGGATCTTAAAGGTCAGATTAATAGGCGGAGCCCGCTTTCCTCGTACCTGTGGATCTATCTGGGGACACTGGTGACCAGAAGTTTCTCTGACCCTTCATTGGACGCGACATTTAATTCAAATATGTCAGCACTCAAAGTCCAATCATAGAGAATATTAACATTTGGGACGCTACCTTCCAACAGGGTCCCTACAGACTAGAAATCAGAGTACTCGATTTACTTGATAATTTGTGATTCCATTCATCAAAATTGTGTTTCCGGAGTCCAGCCAAATAACGACTCTCGTTTTGCTTTTTGTCCTTCAGAATGTTGCTTCTCGCTTGTGTTTATCGTTTGGGTTTTTTGTATCGTGTTAGTGTATTTTTCCTCTGTTCGCTTTGGTTTGTTTTTACTCGTTACTCGACAGATTGCTGGGGTTAATGGTCATGACATTAGATACCACTTCGATAAAGCGGTGACCTAAGAGTGACGTCACGGTTACGCGGGCGACAGTCGTCTGGGAAAAGTACAGTGCAGTTTCATTACTAGCCCTATTATAGTGGTGCAGAGTAAGATCAGGTACCTGATCAACTGGCTTTCTTTTCCCAGATTAAATCACCAAAATGCCGAAACAAATCCCCTCTGTCGAAAAAGCTGTTCACGATGAAATGAATTTTATAAGAACTCCGGATAAATATCATTTTTCTTTATAATGCAGGGGCTGCGGACTCTACCATGAGGCTAATCGCTATAGACGCAGTAGTCATCAATCGTCCTCAAACGGTCTCCTTGGTAGCAATATGTGTGATCTGGGCTGTCACCATCTTACTGGTCATCGACACCAAGGTGAATTACTCATTGAACTCGCCGGACGAGGGCTGCGCATGTGCATCTCGGGTTCAGGGGAATGGCACAGCGTCGGCGAAGGGCGACCATGTCCAGACGCGTACCGTGACCAAGTGGCTGACGTATTGCCGTAAAGAAAACGCCGTGGCAGGTGCAAGTGGCGGGATCCGACGGAGCAAGTCCCGGCGAATGCAAGTCAGGAGGAAGCCGCATCTCGTCAATCCGCATCCGTACAGCTTCACGATCACCAACGCGGACGCGTGCGTCAAGGGTGCCAACACCAACGGCTACGTGGACGTCCTGTGCCTCGTGTACACGGCTACCAGCGACAGTTACTCACGCACGCTGATCCGCAAGACGTGGGCGAGCGCCAGGCGCGTAAAGGGCAAGCGTATCGTCACCATGTTCCTCCTGGGCCAGCGAGGCGAGGAGACTCAGTTCCTCATCGATCTGGAGAACAACCATTACCACGACATCATCCAGGAGAACTTCCACGACTCCTACTACAACTTGACGCTCAAGACACTGATGGGCCTGCGCTGGGCGGCCCAGTTCTGCCCCAACGCACGCTACATCCTTAAGGTCGACGTGGATATGTTCGTCAACGTCTACAACCTCTTGGACCGGCTGGACAGCGCCCCGACGCGGAACTTCGCCGAGGGGAACCTCAAACCCGTGACCAAACCCATCCGGGACCGGCACAGCAAGTGGTACACGTCCCCCAAGGTCTACCCCAACGCCACCTACCCGCCGTACCTGGACGGACCGGCCTACCTCATGACCGGCGACCTATCCGCCCGCATCTTTGGCACCTCTCTCCACACTAGGTTCCTGCCGTGGGAAGACGCCTACGTCGGGATCATCATGCACAAGATCAAAGTGGAGCTCAAGTACAACGGGAAGTACGAGAATCACCTGGACTACCACAAGGAGCAGGAGATGCTGCGGAAGATCAACGAGTGCATCACGTTCCATCTTGGGGAGGACAAAGACGAGAACAAGGAGAACATTGTGATGGTTTGGAACCGCGTGCGCATGCTCAACGACATCCCTGTTTTGGATTGACCGGGGTGATGGATTTGTCTGAACAATGCACAGACACATGCTTTTTTTTCAGTCTTGGGTGTGTTAGGAGGCATAGACTGACGGTCGATTCCATCGCGGGCAGTGATGCAGTCGAGTCAGTTAAAAATAAGGCCGCCTGTCCGAATCACTTGGCTACGGCTGGGATTTACACAGGAATTAATGGGAAAAGGCCGCGGCCGCTGTTGTAGACTCTGCGTAATTTCCGGCCGTAGCCAAGTGATTCGGACTAGGCCTAATATTGCAAGCCCATTACAAGTCCATCACGAGTCATCTAGTCTTACCTCGAGTTACAAGTTGCTGTTCAGATGAATTAAAACAAAAACATCATCTTGTTATTGATCACCCTGTTACTTGTGACTGTGTGAACGACTAACAACTGGACTTGGGAAGAAGATTCGCAATGAACTCGACCACAAGACTGCTCATCGGAAGTCCATCACAGTGAATTCACCCGTAGCAAGGAATTCCAATTCATCTGAACTGTGACATGACATTAGACTGGTTTGTGACTGATACAGACAACTTGTGTTGGACTCAGCTTCAAACCTGCGCCTCCTCACTCCTGTCAAAACGATCAATACTAAACAGCTTGTCGGAGTGTGTCTTATGAAACAATAACTATGCACATCAGCATAAGAAACATTTCTTTGTCCAGAGGTCGAGAAAGAAGTAAAATTCTGAATTTTGGTACCAGGAAAACTTTATGTAAATGTCAAAATATTGCGAAACGTTTCCACAACTCTTGTCGTTTGAACCAGAGCTGTTTATTGAGAGAGTTACGACATTAGTGTCTCAGTTGTAAGAACCAAAATGGTCGAATTCAATTTGCGTCATTGTACATGGACAGTTACCACACTATAGCTGTTTGCTGTACTGCTCAGATAATGATCAGCCATAAGTTTTAAGAGGAGCAAAAGAAGTGAACTCGACATGTTTATTCAGGATGTGCTCTGGTAATAATCCCAGTCCTGCTAATTTACACACGGTTACAGCGAAGCCAGGCCTGCTGGCCGTGAGGGTGTTTTCCATAGAAGTTATTTTGGCAAAAAGGGAATCAATTTAAAATGCGGAGTTCTGCCATGTTTTGGAGGACCTCGAGAAAACCTTTCCAAAGAAGAGGGAACATCAAAATAGCCCGACTAGTACTACTACTCGTAGTCTCACGCACAAAAAAATAGAGACAGACGCCATCTAGTGGCAGGGGGCGATGTTCAAAGTGGGCGGTGCCGTCACCGACACTCTGGGGATACAGCCCACCAATTCAAGCCCCATTGAAAACAGCGTAATCTTAACATTGTTCAGGACTCAATAACATGCATGCCGACATCCCTGGGGTTTCTGAAACAAAATTTACTTATTGTTTTGACCTCTTGCGTACAAAACTATTTAAAAAGTAAAATTCCCAAAAGTCTGCTTGCAGCCATTTTTTAATTGGCACATTCTCTGGCACTGAGGCTATTATCCACCCGTACTTTTATCAATTCTGCCCTCAGAGGTAGGCCCAAGAACAGGGGAATGGATCCTGGTAAATATTTACACAATGTCACCATCTCGGGGCCAAACAATCTCCTTTTCAACAGAAATTATTTCTTGAATACGGGCGTTTCATAACAGTGCGCCTCCAAGAGTTTGCAACGCATCGCCCGTATTAGTGAACTGCACCCTCTGTGGTGCCACTGAATGGGATAGTACAATACAGCCTGCCACTGGACATAGGCAGCAACAAGCATGCGTANGTACTCTGTCCGTTCTTCAGGAGACTCAGCATGCGTTATTCTGGTACTGTTAAAGGGTTTTTAAAACGCAGCGGCGTAGCCAGTTGGGGGTGGGGGCAAGGGGCCTGCCCCGTGGGAACCCTCCTCAAAACATCTTTAAGACATCAAGACATATTTAACAAGGCTCTTGATGACTGAGCCTGAAGTTATAGAAACTCAGTCTTGATGCCAATGGGGACCTCTGCAGGAAGTCTCTTCGACCCTCTTGCCCTCTCTGAGAATTAAGATCCCGACTACGTCACCGAAAAAAAAACGATGATAATCCCGCCGATTTGGATGCTTTCACCCGGGATGACATACATGCGCACCCATGAGGCACGTGCAGAGTGAATTACCGAGCACTGTAGAAATTATTTCCAGAATACATGTATTTGTTTTCGTGATGAATTAGCGTCACCGCATAGCCGAGGACGTGGGTAAACCGAGCGTGACTGTTGCTTAGCAACTGCTGAATAGGTTATTAACAGAACAAGGGCCAGAGAACACTTCACGGAACAATAAGAAAACATTCCGATCTGCTCTCGACAAGGACGTATTAAATACAGATTGTGCCTTTGCTTTACGCTGCATGTATCTTGGTATTGCATGGGTATTTATCCCGGGGCAAGGGGGCAGCCATGTTGTTATTGTACCATTCAAAGCAACGAAACCAAACTGAAGTTGGAAGAAAAAATAGTCTGTTCCCTTTTATCAATATAAAAAGTCGTGTTACTGTTGTCGACGGGTCTACAGGGAACACGACAAAGAGGACAGCATAACGATGTGGTCTGTGAGAGTACGACACAATGCCTTCCCCATTTTAGGCTCGTCTGTCAATGCAGTCTTTGTAAATGCATACACCTTTACGTCCATGTTAACTTTATTTTCAATTTTCGATTTGGCATATTTGGCGATTTTCGTGATTTTTCATTTTGAAGCAAATTGTTGGTTTTTTAGCAACGGTGCGATGTTATTTCTATGAAACAAGCCTCAATGTTACAGCTGTTTCAGTATTAATTTTTTTCAAAGTTTTAGATATTTTGCTATCTCAGTGTTTTTTCTCTAGTCATTTCTGTTTTGTGCTTTGATGTTTCAGTAATGACGCCACAATTTTTATGAGCTCGGTTTCCTCACAAAGGAAGGGTTAAATACTGTACATACACATGAATATATGTACACTAACAAGATCCTCAACTGATTCCGAAACTGTTTTTGAAAAATCAACTTTCCAAATGACAATGGTTTGTTACAGTTCGCTTATCCCTGACACATCTGCCGACAATGTATTTACAGATTTTACCCCTTTGGATTTCTGTCGTGATAAAAATGGATTGAATCAGGGAACATGGTTCACCCAGGCACCATTTCAAAATTCTTATCGGGTAGGTGTCGGACAGAACTGTCCGACCGATACATTTATTATCGGTTGGCTATAACGGTGTTCTCAAGAGGCCAATTCTACCCGATAAATGCCTTTACATTGCATTACTTCCAAGGCTGTGCGGTTTCAGTGGAGCAACACCCCTTCCATCATTCATTCAACACAAGTCACTGTTATCGGTCGGATGGCCCTGTCCAATAGTCACTCAATAGGAATTTTGAAATGATGCCTTACAAAAGTTGTAAATGAAACCGCTGTCATTGACGCACGGATTCTTACTTTCGTTTATTTATGTGGATAACTGCTACATTCGTCAATTTTTCAATAATATTGCACATTCAAAACAAGACGTATAACAACTGAACTTATTCTAAAAATATGTTGCGGGTTCAAAGTTTGTGAGAAAGTAAAAACTGCTAAAATAAAATTTTCTGACCCATACAAGATGCTAGACCGGAGTGATGTGGCATACACAAAGTCAACAAGACAATACTGGACAATTATTTCATCTTAAATAATTACACAGATTTATACGGTACAATTGTCAAACCGAAGCACAGCTTTCATTTTATGACACACATAAAGCATATTGTCCTGTGGGACGCATTTTGAAAGGAGTCTCATTCACGGACATCACCAATTTCCCCTGCAGTGGTTCACTAGCCATCAGAAAGCGATAACATGTCATAAAAAGTCAAATTTAAACAGGAAAAATATTTAAGCATTTACTTTGAAAACACTCGGAATTTTTCACACCAGTCTCATGGGGACTGTGCGTAGGGTGTCAAGTAATGTCCGTAGATGGAACACTCTCTCAAATGTCTGGATCAAATTATTACACCTAATTTTAAATTAATACTCTAAAATGTCAAGATGAGATGTCCACGAAGCTCAGGGATTTCTAATCCAAGACTGGGACATCGTTCAATTTCCTCACATAGTTCCAAACCATCAAGATGTTCTCTTTGTTCTCTTCCTTGTCCTCGCCTAAGTGGAAGGCTATGCTGTCGCTGATCTTTCGAAGCGTGTCTTGCATGTTGCTGTAGTCGAGATAGCTGGAGTATTTCCCACTGTACTTGGGTTCGACGTGGATGCGGTGCATGATGATACCCACGTACGCGTCTTCCCACGGCAGGAAACGCACGTTCAGGGACGAGCCAAAGACGCGCGAGGACAGGTCCCCAGAGACGAGGTAGGCCGGCCCGTCTAGGTACGGCGGATAGGTCTTGCCCGGGTACATCTCCGGGGAGGTGTACCACTTGCTGTGGCGGTCTCGGATGGGTTCTGTGATGTCCTTCCGGTTCCCCTCGGCGAAGTTGAAGGTCGGGGCTGTTTCCAGTCGCTCTACAAGGTTGTAGACGTTGACGAACATGTCCACGTCGACTTTGAGGATGTAGCGGGCGTTGGGGCAGAACTGGGCCGCCCAGCGCAGGCCCATCAGCGTCTTGAGCGTCAAGTTGTAGTAGGAGTCGTGGAAGTTCTCCTGGATGATGTCGTGGTAATGGTTGTTCTCCAACTCCAGGAAGTGCTGGGTCTCGGTGTCTCGCCGGCCCAGGAGGAACATGGTGACGATGCGCTTGCCTTTAACCAGCTTGGCGCTCGCCCAGGTCTTGCGGATCAGCGAACGTATGTAACTGTCTCCCGGGGAGGTCAGGACCAGGCAGAGGGCGTCCACGTAGCCGTGGATGTTGGTGAACCGCTTGCAGGCGTCCGGGTTCTTCATGGTGAAGTAGTACGGGTGGGGGTTGATGAACTTCTTGGCTGGCTTCTTGGGGTTATCGGGCTTCTGCTTCCAGGCCGGCGGTCGCTGCTGCTGCTGCTGCGGGACTTTCTGGCCTCCGTCTTTGCCGGGTCGCACCGGGTCTTTCTCAGCCGGTGCACCTGGCTTCTCGTGGCGGCAGTACCGCAGCCACTTGGTCACGGTGCGCGGCTTGTCGTCCGCCGCGTTACTGGCATTACCGACTCGGTCCGGTGCTGCCAACGACGAGATATTACCCTGGGCTTGAAGTCGGCATGGACACTCCACCTCCCGTGTACTCCTATCGGTGTAGTTTCTCCTCGTATCCACGACAAGGAGAACGGTCCCGGCCCACAGCACCAGCAGCGTAATTGCTGTCAGTTTCCCCTGGTAGGCGAGCAGCGTCTCCGCTAAATTCATCTCGTCGGTTCCTTGGCGTTCTCCGCGCAGTTCCGAATTCGCCGATCTGACCAGCGCTTGTGCACTAAGTTGCACTGATTTTTAATATCCCGTTAGAGCCATCGCCAAGACTGATATTACCCTTGGTTCAAGAAAAGAAATCCATCCGTTGACGAGTTCCAAGGGTTGCCAGGGGCAATTTGGATTTTATCTTCTTACTACTGTGTTCGACCTCAATTGAAGGACGTGCTGTCCTCATGAACAAGTAACAAATGGAACGGATCGCTAGGGCCCATTGTATGGTCGACTTAACGGTATCGATCGTCACCCCCGCTACGTCACTTAATCACGGCAGCTAAGTCGGCCAAGCTCCTAGCGACCCCAAAGCAAACCGAGAGAAAAATGGCCGCGTAATCTCCGCACACTGGGACAGCGTCTTCAGCGCACGGGATAAGCCCTCGAAAGGATGAAGAGGATTTCACTCCGTTGACAAATCCTACGCGTACATGTTTACTGCCGGCTGTAATTGGGTATCGCGTTGACATGGACAACAATCAGGCCTGCGTTTGTACAGCGGCTTGCCTGTTCTTTCAGATTTTCCTTCCTCCTTTTTCCAGAATTTCTTTTTTCACGTACGTGTTGGCCCCACAAGGGAATTATTGTATGTGTTTACGGACCGTGTCAGCGCCTCTTGGTACACCTTGACAAATTAATGAATATTCAGCGAATTCAATAGTAAACGCAAGAGCCCGTTTTCAGCTGTGGTCTTTGCGCTCTGTGAGGGCGTCCACTCGCGGACCAGATTCGGTTGGCTTTTTATGTTGGAACACGACACGCACCGTCTCGACAAAATAATTTGTCTAGAAAAGCACTCAAAGACCTTCATAAAAGACCAGGCATAATGGAATTAATTAAGGTCTGTGTTCCCAGCGGTTAATTAACTTCATGCCAAATTCTCTTCGGCTGGGGAAAGTTATTCCCATAATCGTAACTCCACGGGTTCGTTGTTTTAATTGAAAAACTGCGCATGCGTGTACAGATCATAATGCCTATATTTATGGCTATCTTTATCGCATAATAGATTGACTGTACCCGCTAAATCACGTGAACTATAGCGGGTATCAATTTCAAACATCAACAAACCCCATAGCAAAGTGTGTTATGAGTGTTGTTCACCAACTTTAAAGCCATTTTTGCGATAATCATAGTACCCAGTCTGATGGTACAGACCATCTGCTTTATTATTTTTGACAAGTACCGATGAAACATTTTAATACGGATGCCGCCATGTTTGTTGATGTTTGATAGCCACAATAGGTCACCTGACTTAGCGGGTGTAATCGGTCTATTGCGGCTTGCAGCTGGGAAATGCTTTAAAAGAGAAGCATACATGAGGAGCAAGGGGAAGTGATAAATCGCTCTGCAAAAAGTGGAAGAGCTGTACGAATTTGTAGAAATGGAATTCGCCCACGTAGCAAGTGACATGTCACGGAGGAATTAAAAAAGATCTAACTTGCCATCAAAACATCACCAATCTGACCCCTGGGCGTAATTTTTTTTTTAGAATATGAATCAGCTTTTGGGGAGAAGTTCACCGAAGATAGTCACCCTTCCAGAATTGTCTTGTACGATTGATCACGGGCGTTGTTTCCCTGTTACAAACAAAACGTGAGATTGTCGGTGGACACAGCAATAATAATTTAAAAACTAAATAGACATACACTGGAGTTTTTAAAGATTTTTAATATTTTTTTGTGCTTTTCAGAATTTTGTTTTCTTTTGGTGTTTTTGTGTTTTATTATAAAAAGAGGGTTATTTTGCAGTGCTGGTGCTAATTGATGCTAATTAATTAATTGCTGCCAAATAATGAACCTTTATTGCTATAATCTGGAATGGTAATAATTCGGAACAGATGTTGTAAATAAGTTGATTGAGTTCGAGAAGTTATTTCAGAATACGGAGATTATGCAGAAGATTGCGGTGTTCAGAAGCTTATTTTGTAAAGTCTAATTTTATGATAGCCTTGGGAATGATTTTTATCTATTCAAACTGACAAATTAGTTTCCTCGGATTACGTTTCTGTTGGTAAGTCCATGAACATTAGATGATCGGAGTCATTAACTTGTCCTTTTTTGTTCCAAAAATTTCTACATCGGTGCTCACGGGTGATTTTTTGTTTATATTAAACGTTCAAACTATTGACGATGATAATACAAACTGATTCCTTTGAAATGTGAGTGTTGGTACATAAAGCTGTTCATTTCCTGTTTTGATTCGTAAGCTAGGCTGTTATCTGAAATGATTCTTTGTAGAGTCCGAATTATCCAAGGTTGGCGTCTTTACATCCAGAGGCGCCATGCTAAAAATATGAAC